AGCTTGGCTAGTGGAAGCCACAGAAGGAGTCGGTGTTGCCAGCTCATGAATGCGATCAGCCAAGTCTGCCAAATCATCGGTAGATGCTGCAATTGGCTGGCCAGCGAGGACTGTCTGGATCCCATGCGATAGACGACTCACCCAGATTGTCTTCAAAAAATCGTCAGGAATATTAACGCCGGCGAGACTTTTAAGATGGCGGAGAAATTGGGAGGGTTTGCGGTCTCCCAGCTCTTCGTGCATCAAAAGTTGTTTGAGCTTCTTCTCCTTCGACGCTGTAAGCCGCTTGATGAGCTCAGTCTTCAATTTGTGGTATTTATCTGTAGCAGGTGGGCTGATAATAAGGTCCTTCACTTCTCTGGAAAATTGGTTGTCGAGTTGGCCAATCACATAGTGATATTTGGTGGAGTCGCTGGTAATTCCAGATATGGCGAACTGCCCCTCCACTTGCGCGAACCAAATCTCAGGCTCTTCTGGCCAGAAAGGTGGCACCCGAATTCCTACTTTTAAAACATCGATACTTTTTATCGACTGGTTCCCGTCACTATTATTTGCCTGCGTGGCCGTGCTGGTTCCATGTGCATCTTGAAATTCTCCATCCATGGTTCTTAAATGGGGTCACCAGTGTTGGTATATGGTGTGATAAATTGGGAATAAATGAAACGTCCAACTTACAGCTGACTCCGTCCGTCAATGTAATCCCATAAAGCACATATATACACATTAACAAATAGAAGGCGAAGACGGTACAAGATATAAAGTCCAAGCACAGCACTAGAAGAATACAGTCAGAAAGATAGGCGATAGATAAACAGTTTATAGAAACGAAAAGCACAATTATATAAAGCGTACAGATCTAAGTATATAAGCGAGCTAAGAGAAGCGTGCGCTCCGCGTCGTAGTTCAGTCTCGACTGGTTTGGTAGACAGCGCGGTGGCGCGCGCGCATCTCTAGTACATAAGATAGACAAAAGAATTATGTACAAGACTATCCGCTAGTGCGTAGGGCGTGTCGATAATTGTTATCGATATATCGACAAACCAGTACACCATGATATGTAATGAAAATATAATATTGTTAATATAATTATAGTACTTATTATAAATTCTATATTAGATATTAATAAATATTATTAGATATAAGATGTAAATATATAGTGTAAGATAGTTAGTGTTGCGGTTTTAGAATATAAGTTACTTTGTATTTTATTATAATGAATAAATTTAAATAATATTTTATGTGCACAGTGTAAATATAGTTTGAGAATGTATTCACACCTCAAAGTAGCCTACACCTCTAATTAACTAATTTTGTTAACCAAAAACCTCTATATAACGTTTCCATCAATATATGGCCCTTAATCCCTAATGCGTGTTTCATGTCACGCCAGAAAACTATTTTTTTACCTCTTTATAACAAATTTTAGACCAACCTCAATATAACTGACCTCTGTTTAAAGAATTACTCGATGTAACGAATATTTACTTGTTCCCTTCCGATTTGTTATATCGAGTTTGCACTGTACTAAGATAAGTATATTTATATAGAAATACATATTAAACATCCATGACTGGAGTACAAATGCTCGTATCCATCACACGAACATCTGCCCCCACCGGGATTCGAACCCTACCCTCTCGAGTAGGCGACACTACGAAATATATTAAAGATATAATGTATTCTCCTGATATGGTATTATTTATTATATACACGTAAAGGGTAATTCATTCCTATCTGTTTTTGTAAGCCAGGTAGTATTTATTTTGATAAAATATAGTTTTGTCTGACTGGTAACCATAAAAAAAACTGACCTAATTTCTTTAAAATAATGTCATTACATGTCAACATTTCCAACTCCCAACATTTAATTTGACATACTAAAATAAGATAACAAAATTGCAATTGCAAAATTAACTCAGTAAACGCCCTTCATTCACACACCTTTGGCAGGTTCCGGTCTTTAGTGTAAGTGCTTTTTATAAATTTATGATCACTACTTTAAATAAAAGAAATATTTGGACAGGCTTAACTTAACATTACTGGATAACTGAATCTTTATGAAGTGTTTGCAGAGCAGAGCGTGTATATATATGGATGTAAATATTTATGTGAATATTTTAAATCTAAGAAATTCACTGGTATGAATTCCCGCTTGGCCTTAGCGGCCTAACTGCGTATCACGCGGCCCCAGTTTCGAATCCCGGATGAGACAAACGTATCTATGAAGAAGAACACGCATGTGACGTCTAACCAATCATGGATATTTGTATGTATTACCCAATGCATATTTTATCTAGTCCATGGTGCAAGCTATGCTTAATTTTTAACTAGAAGATGATGATGAAAGTGTCATAAATACTATTTATTAATTTATTTCAGCTAGTTAAAGAAGGTATGAGAGAAGTTTAATTCGAATTAAATTCGATTCTAAGGTTGATAACCCTCGATGTTGAATGCGAATAATTGGTATCGCGAACTATATTTCGCAATCTTGACCTGCCTTCACCATTGTAGATGGTTTCGCAGATCGTTGTGTTTACAATGAATCGGATCCGATCAGACCAATATATGATGAAACTACTCCCTCTAGAACTATACTTTACTGGTCAGCCTCTCCTTCTATCAATCTGTTATGGCAAAGTATCTTAAGAAAAAAATACTGGATAACATAGATGAATGATTGGTCTCGCTTCAAGTGCAGCGTGACCAATCATTTATCTATGCTGAATAATATATTCGAACCAGCGCCCTTCGTTGTTCGGACGAATGCACTGACCGCTAGTTATCTTGTTCGCATAGCAGCAGCTATAGGGTATACTCCTCGATTTATTTAATTTTACATAGTTCTCGACCTGTGGTGTAATCCAAAATTGTAAGAATAATATATTAGAAAGTTTCTCTGTCCATCAAACAACGTCTTTCTTCCATCGTACAAGGTCGTATTCTCACTTTCTTTGGCCATATCTTATACCGAGTAGATGTGTCAGAGGAACGACTTGTGGTGCAGGGCAAAGTCGAGGGCGTAAGGGCGCGCGGTAGATCACCAATGCGCTGGACCGATCAAATAAAAGCGGCACTGAACGGTCCACTTCACGAGTGCATGAGAAAGGTCGCAGTGCGGGAGAAATGGCGGCGTATTGTGAAGCGCGCCACCAACCCTAATGTGACTACCACAACCACTCTGTCAAGAGTGCAGCGCCGAAGAAATATTAAAAAGAGTTTCCATATCAAGAGATTCAGTAACTAGCTTATAAAAAAAAATGGCAATTATTAGTCTCATTTTTACCTAACCTCGCGCAAGGCTTGCATAGTACGAAGTTCTATAAATTGAGAGTTCAAAAATTACCAAGGCAAAAAATAATACCAAGATACACTTTTCCATCCACAAAGCTTTCTACGTAGCAGTGTGCATTCTCAACTGTTTAATTGCTCAAGGACATGTCATTATACCAAAACGAATATATTGTTCTCAAGCACTAATCGAATGATCTTTATCTAATACCATTACCATAAAAGTTTCGAGGTTGAAATTGATCGATTGGTCAATCTAAATTGTTAAGCTTATCTGTAACATAAGTTGTTATATGGTCTATTTTATTAGTACTGGCACGATGGAACTGGATTGAAATAGTTTTACTTCAAAATATTTTTTAATTCAACTGAATATATAATAAACTTACCCACATTTAATGTTTCATTTGCTACATATATCAATGTAAAAACTATAAGATTAAATACTAGGTATATCGAGCAACACGCGGGGAAAATCATTTTCCATGTTATGAGAACCCTTTATATTTTTTAATTTATTTTACTTTATGTGAATATGAAGTACGAATTATTTTAAATATTAATTATACGGCAGATATATAAGGCTATGGTCATCAATAAAAAATACTGTTTTATATATCCTCAGCGGATATCAAAATAGCGGATAAAAAATGGGGTTTTTATTTCAAGACATAAAAGTATGAAAGTTATGTAGGTGTCCACACTTTTATATCAAATTGATTGATTAATCATATTTTTTTTGTAAGCATGTAACTCCTCGATGTTTAAATCTAAAGAAAATATTACTAGAAAAAAATTCACGCGGACCAGGCAGCAGACTGGACTCGGACCCGCACCCTTCGCTAGCCGGGCGAATGCACTGACCAATTATGCTACCGCGGCCCTGACGGCCGGTTGCCTGGTCCGCGTGGATTTTTTTCTAGTATATTTTCTTTAGATTTAATCACAATTTTTTAAATCTGATCTGTTTTAATTTTTTTGTAATAATATCTCGGGGTATTAAGAGAAAGGAAGCATTCAGACTCGTCTCATCATTTCTGAAGTTGTTATTAGTTTGATTGACGATTTTCATTTGGCGACCTCTGTGGCACGAGTGTTATGTACGCTGGGTTTCAAGGTGTCGCCTATTGAGAGGCCCCGGTATCGAATCCCGGTGGGGTAAATGTAAGTATGATGAATACGAACATTGGTACCTTATTTTTGTGTGATATAGAATGTAATAATGTGTCTTCTTTGACGGATTATGTATCTTATTAGGTATCAGAACTATGATCTTGCAAATTACCGATATATACATTAACATATACGTATTTAGAGATTTAAATACATATATATTGTGGCTAACCAATCGATTTATGTATTTTGACAGTCACTAAATTTTTTATTTTCATTTACAAATACAAGTTTATCATTAATGCTAGGATACGGTTTTCAGGTGTATATAAATTATAGTTATGTAAGTAGGTACATTCTTAGAAATAAGTGTTATAAAAACTTTGTATATCTTTTTATTTTATTATATTTGATATTGTTTTAGAGGGAATTCTATTTTATATTATTATTTTTTTAGACAAACTTAAAAAAAGAATTTAAAGGCATTGAATATTTATTCAAACAAAGCACTTAGGTACAAGTTATTATTAATAACATTTTCTATATGCAATCATTATCAATAATAATCTGTAACAAATTCTTGAAAATAAAAGACTAGATAGTTAAAATGATATCGATGGAATAATAAAATTAACAAGGCTTGCCAGGCAAAATAATGTAAGTTAACGGGGAGAGGCCAGCCTTTAGAGATCCTTGAGTTTGAATACTGGATTGGATGCAGCGAATAATATCATTATACGATACTAAAAAGTTTGGAATAGACAGAGATGGAGTAGGTGCTTCGGTGATTTCTTTCACCGTGGCTTGGATTTCTCCTGGCGCGGCTTCACTTTTTGGGTGACTGGGAGTTTCTGAATGTTCAGGAACATGAGTTTCGTGAGGAGCATGTGTAGCTTCCGAAGTCGTTACATGTACTGATTCCGCTTTATCTTTTGATGGCAATGTCGCTGCCGTGGTAGGTTCAGCATTTACTTCGTTAAATTCCAAAGTATCTTTAAGATGTTCCGGTTTAACTTTCAATGCTTCTTTCTTGGGATCCACGCATGGTTTTGGTTCACTTTTAGTTTTTGGGTGAGCTTTCTTTTCTCCTCCGTGGTCAGGACTGGGTGGAATTCTTTTCACGATTACGTTGAATCTGTAATGTGACGAAAAATATACATGTTGGACTTTTTATTTACAAAGTGTATTAATAAAGCGACTGGTATAAATGCAGTTACCCTGACAAATCATCTGCAGTGTATTTCACTTCACGAGTATATCCATCGGGTTGAATAAAAGAGTATTCTCCACGGACCACTGATCCATCGCTAGATTCGTGTTGTGCTTTCTGATCACCTGTATTTTCATCATATACCACATAGGAGTATTCGTAACCATTCTAAAAAAAAAAAGAGAAAATCTGATTAGATCAAAAAGGGTACAAGATTTGTGATATTGATCTGAGAATATACTTACATCCTTACTGGGTGCAACTACAACAGGTAAATTTGGGGCTCCATACGTAATAATTTTTGCATTATCAGTTACAGGTAATGGAGCAACAGGTGCAATATTTGAACTTGAAATAACACACGGTGAAACACATGGTGGTATTACATCTGTCATAGCTGCTGGAACAGAAACAATTGATCCTAATGGCGGTACAGATAATTTTGCATACTTTGTATCTGTGTATACAGCAGCAGATGGGGTGCCATAAGTGATGAACCCAGCGGGATCACTCCCTGAATTCTGAACGTAAACCTGAGAAAATGAACCTGCGAGAGCACTATTTAACAAGATACCAAATATCAAACCCAACACAGCCTGCAATAGAAAAAGTAAAGTCAGTTTAATTACTTCAGATCTTAATTAATAAGACTTGTAATTTTTATTGTTGTATTTTACCTTAGGATTCATCTTCTTTGGTGATCCGTAGAGTACTACTGATATTTTCCTGAATGTCTCTACTTATAAAAGCCTCTTTGTTTGCCCTGAAATATTCTGTTCGGTAATACCGAAACAAACCATCAATGTCGTCCATAACCTGAATAGGAGATAACAATTAAAATGTTAATGAAGATTTAACGCACGCTGGCTCCGTTTCAGAATCCTCTATACGAAATGAAGAATTCACAAAAACTGTGTAATTTACCATGAATATGGTCTTTGTTTCTGCGGTCCGGTTGATGAGTTACTTGAGCAACGCTGCCAGGAACTACTTACAATACCTTTATTCCACTCACGAGTAAGGCTTTCCAGTATTAGTTGGTTTTAGAAAATTTTCCTAATAGTGATTCTAAGTGCAGTTCACAGATTTGTATATACCTATGATTCTTCGCTGATGTAGATATTAAAATATAGTGTTTTGTTCGTATCATAAATATGGGTAAAGTGCTATTGACAAAATAACTTTTATTACTATTTAATCTTACGACCATTAGAGAGCGTCAACAAAGAATCATTCAGTGTTAAGAAAATGATCTATGAGAAAAGCCTTTTAAAATGTTGAATGCAATCTGCTACTAAGACGAAAGTGAAAAGACTGATCACTGCAGGAGAATTACATCGGAATGGTTCACAGTTTCAGGTCAAACATATATCTTTCCTAAAGATAGCAAAATATCAAGGTGAGACCACTGCTCTACAGATAAAATTTAATATAGGTACCTACATGATAAGTAATTAATATATTAATACCAGCCATATTTATTTTTGTGATGAGAACAAATATTCCTGTTTTCGAGTCTTTGTTGTTTATGTAGGTTAAGTTAAGATTTAGTTCTTACATTTCTTTACTCGAGAACAATAATATCAGCTTTGAAACTCGTTTGGTCTACAATATTGTTCCGATATGATAGTGACATTACTATATGATATCGGAAGAAGAACAAATACACGTTCGTAGCTTTTAGTAGTTTATCGCTTACAGTAATAATTATTAAAACCACGCGATATGTTGATAGATTTACGATATTTCTAACTTCTCAATAAGTTCAGGTTCTTTTGCTTTGTGAAGTCTGCGTGATAATCAATAGAACAACTAAAATTTGTATACCATGAATTGGTGGAGTCTCACGTAAGGTACAGTATACGATTCTGGGAGAAATTCATATAAGTACAATATAGATAAGGCGTTTGTTCTGCAAAAAAGATCTATATGAAATATAATGCGTATTCTGCAATGGGAATGTAGTAGAGATCATTTTAAGAATTTAAAAATTTGGACTGTTCCTTGCCTTTACATTTAAGAATTGTTGTCTTGTATGATTAAGGCATCTGAAAAATATGAAATGTCGCAAGATAGGTATAAACGCTTACATACGCGTAGAAAAGATTTGAGAAGTTCAGTGGTAGGTACCTAGATTGAATGTTGTCTCCCAGAGTGTTATCAGGCGGTCTACTAATATAATCGTTTACCCAGCTATTTGAAATCAATTGTACGAGTTATCGTAATCGGATTTGAAGATTGTCATTGCTTGAAGAACAAATTCATTTATTTACTATACTATGTCACTTCTGGCTGCTAGCGCCTTCGGAAATTAATCGACAATGATGTCGTTCTAAACTTAAGATATTATGATGACTTTTTAATTTATATTTCAGAAAACATAAAGAATATTACGACTACCTATTGTTAATTGATAAAATCTTTGATTTTGTCGCCGACTCATTGATGAACATCAAAATTCTTAGGGTACTTTCTGAAGTCCTAGAAACCTGAAACTTGGTATGTTAACCAGTATTAGGACACAAACAATAAAAAAATGACACTTAAAACTATTTCTTAACAACTTCTTAATCTAGGGGATAGAAGTTTGAATGATACTTGTGGAAATTTATGAAATTTAGTTAAAACTAGCGGTCGCCCGTGTCTTCGTATGCGTGGAGTTAGTTAGAAAAAAAGGTTCACTGCTCGTTCCCCGTAGGTGATAGCGTGATATTATGTAGCCCATATGTTGACCCGACTTTAGAATAATATTCGTGCCAAATTTGAAGTAAATCCATGCAGTACTTTTTGAGTTTGGACATACATACAGACAAACAGACAAAAATTCTAATATATTTTTCATCATTTAATAAGAAGGGATTGTATCACAGTTTTATTGTAAGTACTTCGTATAGGATCGGAGTAGCCCATTTTTTTCTTTTCCTATTTATCTACATTTATAAATTCCCGCAGCAAATTCCTACCATTCCCGCAGTCTATTCCTACATAATACACCGCGCTATCATTTTGTCATCGTTGTAACTTTTAAAATATTAGTCGAAATGACATAGTGTAATATCAAAAGCGATAAAAGTATTTGTTTTGTTAAAAAATAATTTGTTAATATAAAAATGTGCATTTTGAAAATGGATATCAAATAATATTTAATTTTTGATTCACTGTTTTAGCGATAATGGCTTACAGATTAAAAATAGATATATGCTGTCGCGGACTTTTTTGTAGAACTGTTCAAGAGATAGATTTCAACGCGCGGAAATATATCTATTTATAGCGGAAATCTATCTCTTGAAACTTTTATTGTTTTTGTAGTGCAAGCCAAAATGGCTCGCAGATGAGAGATTTTTTTTCTTCTTACGTGACACTTGAGTGTCACTTACGGGTTTGTAATTTATCTAGAAATATAAATTTGTGCAATTTGAACACTTTCTTCAGGTTTTTTTTTAAATTCTAGTAAAAGGTATGTTATTGAAATGGGGTTAAAAGTGCTTTTCAATTGGGGTCAATTGTGTTGCGACTAACTTTTCATTATATATATGATTTATCATTAACAATAGCCACATCAGTACAGTTCAGAGCTTTTTTCTCATTTACTCGCTATTATTTGCAAGCAGTTGAGCGCATGAGTTTTCTGACAAAAGCTAAAGATGCAACTCCTTTTGCCCCCGAGTTATTTCTGCATCCAATGATTTGACTCTTACTCTAACTCTACGCCTGGTAAAATTGAATAAACTCAGCGTATGTGGATGATGAAGAACGGTTAACATTTATTTATGTGTCCTACTTGCTATTTTGATTAGTCGTCTGAAAATAGTAGTATATCTTCTAGTATTTTTTTTTACATTTAAACATCTAGCAGATAAATGCTTAAAATTATAACTAGTACTGTATATGTTTGGAACGTTTCGTTTTTTTTTTATTTTAAGTTAATTTTTAAGACTAATGAGAGAGATTATTTTTACAATAAAATCATCAATCAGGTTATTGGGAGTAATTTTGATTAATCATAGTATCGTATCAGGGTGTAATGGGTTATTTTTATTAACTTGTTTACATATATATGAAAATGAAGTAAAAAAAGAATAATTTAGAAGAACTTTTAACGTAAACAAGAAAGAAGAGTAATAAGTAGTAGTTTTTTTTAAACATATTTTTTGTATTAAAACAAACGTAGATGTTTTATAAATTTTAATTTAAATAAATGTAAAGCATTCTTTTTTTAATTCAGTTTAATTTACATTAAAAGCCATACACTATGAATGGCCCAACCGACCCCAGCTGCGGAACAATTTGCCCCAGCAAGGGGTCAGATGAACCTTACGATCTCTGTTTGAAAATATAATTCTCATGAAAGAACTATTAAAAATACACAAAAATTGGGTACAAACTTATCATCTAAATAAAATGTTACATTAGAGAAGCTAGAACTAGTAACCATAGCATTCGTTTTGTCCGATTCATCTAGCGAATTGTCAAAATTTGCCTTTCCAGAATTTCAGCTGGATCTATAATGAAACGAGTTCATATTTATGCAAATTCATATCTCTTGAGTACTGGGTCACTGAATATGTACTTATTCTACTGATTCTTCTATTCTATCACTGAGGACTCATTCTTAACACAAACGTCAAGTCGTAAGTTATGAATATTCATATATTGCTCAAAATATATCTAACTTTTGTCCTCAAAATTTAACGGCCTGTTTACATATTATTTAACAGTATATTATTTTTATCTCTTTAGTTCCTACCCAAGCATGGACAGCGTCTACCCCTGAAGAAATAAATATATGATATCTTATTTTAATAGATTATGTGATGATTCTAATTTTTATTTTTTTCTTAAGAATATGTTTTATAAACTACGAGTATCATAGTCACTAAGCAGGATTCATCATCATAAGCCTATCAACCTCACTGCTGGGGCATAGATCTTCCTTATGGATGGAAAAGGGAGAACGGACCGTGACCCCATGCGGGCCTTATGCGGATTGGTGGGTTCTAACGACTGCAGATGCAGCCAGGATCAATGCCTTAATGTGCCTTCCAAAGCACGGAGGAGTTCGAGATAATAAGTTTTTGGTCACCCATCCAATGACCGAAAAGTTGTGAAAGTTTCTTATCTTTCTCGATTGCAGGCTGAATGCGTCTTACCACCTGCGCCATCGAGCTCCTCAAGTTCCTTTAACATGGAAGGAACTTGACTTTCTTATAGTACATGATATTCGGTGATCATGGCACTTACAACCCGGATCAGGAATTTATCCTTCCAACTGTGTCGGAATATCAGGGCTCTCAAAACAAGATTTATTATAAATATTTTTGATTCCAAGCATTACAGTGCTTTTATTAAATATATAATTGAAAGTATTTTTATTAAATTGCTTGATTTTTATATCTAAGGTACGCAAAGCGGTTAGTACTTTCACTTGGATACCTTGTATATTGCAGCCTGATACCTCGACAGAGTAGACTTTTTTCTTATAAAAATATCTTTGAGATGTTGGATTTTAGGTATTGGTAGCTGGCGAAATATATATTTTAATTTCTTCATTCTTATTCTGTAAAATAACTCACCCGACGTTGCGCTAATAGTTTCACACTATCCATAGTACATATATTATATACTATATAATATCTGTGCACAGACGAGGGACTCCCTTGCTATTAAAATTAAGAAATATTTCCTCAAGCTGGACTCTGCCTGAT